GCCCTTGGGCTTCTAGAGAGCATGGACCGTGACATTAGGGGCAGGTAAAGTTTTGCACGGTCCCTGGCTTCTCCGCATGGGGCTGAACCTTCCCCTGGGCACAATGCGGTACTGGGGCATGCCGGGAGCCTGCCAGGTTTTGGACAGAGTGCTGAGTCGGAGCTTGCAGCTGTAGCAGAGAAGTCGGGAGAACCTTCTCGGAGATTGTGCTGCCTCTGAAAAGCTTTGCTGCAAATCAGAGGGCTTCGATTTGTACAAACCTCTGGACTCGCAAGCAGTAGAAACCCTGAACTCCCAGTATTTTTTGTCCCTGTGGCTTTGGGGCATTCAAGTCTTGGTGGTGCAGACACTGTACCCTCAAAGGCTGCAGGAACTGGTGAGACTGGAACCTGGCAGCGTCCTCAAGCCTTGTGATGGAGCGTGCCTCCAAGCCAAAGCCTGTCAGCATAGACTGCTACGTGCTAAGCCCAGTATTGACCTGCACTCCCTGGCTTGGTGTCTTCTCTGCTTCTGCCCTTCGGCAGGGCTTCTGCCAAGGTCAGGGGTACCTGCAGCCTGCGAAGGGTCTGGCTCCTGGCACGTGTGTCGCCGTGCTGTGATAGGGCTGGGGGATGCTCTTGCAAGCTGTTGCCTGCGGACTGGCAGGGAAAGAAGAGGTGCCGCAGCTGAGATCTCCTGCTGCTCTGCGTCAGTAAAAAGCCAGGCTTCTGGCTGGGCTGGCAGGCTGGGCTTGCTTGGGGGGAAGAACCAGAAAGGAAGGTAGAAAAGGTCTGTTTTTCTGTTTTGTTTTGGTTGGTTGTTTTTTTTAGCTATTCTAGGGGGTAAAAAGACTCGCATCTCTCAAGTTTCCAACTGCGGGAGCATGTGGACTAGCTCTTTGTGCTTGGCTGTTTATACCACACGCAAGGCTTGACTCCATTTCAGCCGCGTGCATCTCCTGTCCCCTCCTGTCAATGAAGGGAGTAAAAATCCAAAATGACTCAGCTTCCCAAAGAGCAGGTAGACTTCCAGCCAGAGGCTGATGGCTTTGTGTACCTGCCAAGCCCTCTTAATGCCAAATTGAGATTATTTTTTTTTTCCTTTGGATGTTTGAAGTCTCTAACTCCATGTAACAGTGCTGGGAATGGCATCAGGTGACCTAATGCTTGTAGGGTTGGTCTGTATGTGAGGGTCCTGCCCTTCTTAAGGGAGGTGAGACCCCTCCAGGGTCTGAGGGTTCTGGTAACATTAATCTGGAAGCTGGAAACAAACATTATCAAAAATTCTGTGGAAGGGCTTGTAGTGTGACCGCTGCAATCTAATCCAGGCCAGATGCAGGATATTGCCTTATTAATGTTACATCAGAGGCATTCAATGCAATGCTATAAATTAAGTAAATCAGAGCTTGCTGCTGAGCCTCTGGTTTGATTGAACTCACTTTGTATGGGTATCCTGCAGTGTAAGGAAAAAATCAGCGTTTGGTTGGCCAGCACAGGCTTGCAGTGAATGCACAGACCCACATCCACTTGCCACATTGCTGCAGCCGTTTCTGGATGATCGTCTGCTGGAGATGTTCACCCGTACAGCGCTGCTGGCAAAAGCATCACGACAGTGACTGTGCAATCCCATACTGGAGTGCAGAGTGTACCAAGGCAGAAGACACCGGCGCAGCCTTCGGCAGTGCGATGGAGCAGGCAAGCAGCCAGTGGTGTCTTAGCTGCAGCACTGAGACGTGGCAGGCAGGTTCTGGGCAGACCAAGAGGCAGGGATGGTGGCAGTTCTGAAAGGCAGCTTAACCTGGCATACATCTTTCCCACCTTCTAGTGACTCTCTGATTAAGGCAGCTAAGCATATCCTTGCTGTCCGCTATCTTGCATTTTCTTCCTGCTGGGAATACAAGTGCCAGATGGTTTTCCTTTCTTCCTCTCTTGGCTCAGTTGCAAACTGAAATCTGTGTGGGACTGCAGCCTCTTCCCTTCCATCTCCTAGCGCTGAGAGATGCTGTCCCTGTCTCTGGCCATGTGAAGCCTTTGCCATTTCTCTGCAGTGCTCTTACCTTACTGGGAGCCTGGGTACTGCTGGAATGCAATTACATGGTTAACAAGACTGCTGTTCTGCTTTGGTAAGTTCCCTGCAAGCTCCCTGGAGGAGTCTGCTTTCTCCACAGGTGTACCTTCCATCTGTCAGCGAGTTTGTTGAAAGGATTTTGACAGGCAACTTTCTTCTGTAATCCTTAATAGCTTTGAATTTAAAATGTTTATGGCAAAGCTAATCCTACGAAACTCCCTGTGGTTTTAATAAATCTGTCCTCCAGCAAGACTTCTGGTGAGAGGAGGTAAATCTACTTCTTTCTGCAGTGATAATTATCTGCAGACTCGGCTGTGAGGCAGCTTTAAAGTCACCTGCTCGGTCCACACTTAAAACTGGCATCTCCACTCAGAGAGCGTCTTGCTAAAAGCCAGACCTCATGTGGTTGTCAACCTTCATAACCAGTGTCAGGACAGAGAGCTGTTGGAGTCGGCGAGTCTCTTGTAGTATAGCTGTCGATGTCGGACACTCCATTTACAGCTGGAAGGTAAGAGAATAAGTCAGGCTGGGATTTCTGGATGTTTCTAGTCTCAATTCTCTTACTCAAAGCAGGGCAACTTAGATGGGACAAGACCCCGAGTAACCTGATCAAGTTTCGAATAACTCCAAGGAGAGACAATCCACGAACTCTAGGGCAGAGGGTCACTTTCGTTGTGCTCCAGTGTCTTTTAGAGATGGCTTTAACCTCACAGTATCTTTATTTTATGTTTGCACAGGTGTCATTTGGAGGGAAGCATGAATGGAGTCATTTCAAAGTTGTTAAGTCCTGTAAAACTACAGACAGCTAGAGACCTCTGAACTTAGAGCACAGGGCAGGCTGGAAGCAGCATATAAATGACTTGCCGGGGGTATTTTAGCACGCTGCGGTCAGGCTGCATGCAGGGCTGAGCCTCTGCCCCGGCCCCTCTGAGGGAAGCAGCATTTCACACAAAACCCAGGGCTGCGTGATTAAAGAGCTACCCTTAGCCTGGCTGGGAGAGGTGGGACATGGATTAATCTGCTGGCACCGGGAGCTGCTGGATGGCCTGGGCATTGCACACCCTGCTTACGTTGGGGCGTGGAAGCTGGGAGGTGCCTTGGCATGCTACCCCATGCACCTTGTCCTGTATCGGCAGCGACTGCTGATAGTCACAGGAGATCCTGCCCTCTTTAACGTGACACCCATTTCCCTGGTCCCTCAGCCACCTTGTACCCACAACGCAGAAGGCAGTTGTGCCTGCTTTGCACAGTAAGACCTCTCCTGGATGGAGATGGGCTCTTTACTGGTTCCCCTGCCAGGCTGTAGAGCATCTCGTGGAGCAGCACAGGTCCATACCATAGCGGGAAGTGGGAGTGGAGGCTCTTCTTGCTGCCTCTGCCTTGAGGAAAGGAGTAGAGAGGGTCCAGATTAGAGACCAGAGCACTCCTCTCTTTGCTCTGTGGGAAACTAAGGCTTAGCTGTAGCTTAGTTTTGGGAGAAGACATTAGCTAAACCGTGGCTGAACACCTGCAAGGAGAGCTGCAGGCAGGGGTGGATGTTGCTGGAATGAGCAGATCCGTAGGGCATAAGCAAGCGTGAGTCATTCCAGGCTGCTCAAATGAGGTCCTGGGCTGGACCATCCTACACCTTCCAGCACAGGCCCTTGGCCTCCTGATCACCCCCATAAATGTGGTTATCTACGCCCAGAGCAACCCTTGTCCTTACAAACGCTGGTGAAAATGACTCAGTATTTGCAGAAGCCTTTCACATCCAAACTCTTACCTAATCCTTGTGAGAAGTGACTGCCGAGAGGAGGCTCGCAAGTTCCTGCTCTGCTGGCCCGCTTCCCGCAGGCCGTACCCAGGGTGTGTGCGCAGCGGGGCGGTGTGCCCCGGGGGAAGGGGACAACAGCCATATCCAGGCTCAAAGTGCCCCTTGGCAGCTGTAACTACCCCAGCCGAGTGGCTGTGAGGAGCAGCCTGGCCTCTGCACAGCATCCTGGGCCTCTGCACCCCCTCCAAGGGTGCAGAGACCCACGTACGGGGCACAGCGTGGAGTCAAGGGGGATGCGAACCCTTCCCGAGCTGCCTGCTGCCCCTAAGGCAGGGCAGCTGGTGCGGTGCTTGGCTGGCTGCCTCGCTGTTGCTGGAGGTGCTGCCCGGGTGGCTTTGGCCAGCGATGGTGTTGCGGGAGCTGGAATGAGGTTATTGCAATATCAAGTGTGATGCTTCCCAGTAACTGAACCGGCCAAGGTGACATTTGGCAACCCGCTTGTGGGATGGCTCTGTGCTCCGTCGTCTCCTTAATCCCTCTTGCCGCGGCGCGTGAGGCAGGTAGAAGTGATGCTGTACATTAACACTGTTATCCTCAATGAAAAAAATCCTGTGTGGGAAGAACATACTCTTACCAGGGAAGAACATACTCTTACCATGTGAGCTTTTAAGTCCTTATCTGTGCAGATGCCTTAGGCAGCTGTAATTTTAACAGCTCACGTATTCTTTAGGCATCTCGGAAGCATGCCTTGTGCTTGTGGGAAACGGAAGAGATGAACACCCCGTAGCTGTGGTATTGTTAATCCATGCGGTTAGCTCGTAACCCTAGACCATCTCCGCCCTCTTGCTTTGACTGTCCCTCTCACCCGCCCCACGAAGTCCAGCTCTCATCCCGCAGGTGGAAGTCATCTGTTTCCTAGAAGATTTTTCTCATTCTGAAAAACGATGATCTTTTAAGAGATGGACCATACCTCGAATAAAACCCAACCCGCCCCTTTTGCAGGGGGACTGGACCACAGTGTGATTTCCCAGCTGGCTCCCTCTGGGATGGGAGCAGATGCTGGATGACAGAGCAGGACTTTGCGAACCAACTGCTTTCTCCTGCCTTTCCCTAGAGATGCACAGGAGCCCCCGAGCATGCGGTGGGAACACCAAGTGACTGGGGCTTAACCCAAATGTCTCTTCTCTCTCCCCCTCTCTTGATGCAGGTAACGGAGCTGAATGAACCTCTGTCTAATGAAGAGAGGAACCTGTTGTCTGTCGCCTACAAAAACGTGGTAGGGGCGCGGCGCTCCTCTTGGCGAGTAATTAGCAGCATTGAGCAGAAGACCTCTGCCGATGGGAATGAGAAGAAGATAGAAATGGTCCGGGCCTACCGTGAGAAGATCGAGAAGGAGTTGGAAGCGGTGTGCCAGGATGTGCTGAGCCTGCTGGACAACTACCTGATCAAGAACTGCAGCGAGACGCAGTACGAGAGCAAAGTCTTCTACCTGAAGATGAAAGGGGACTATTACCGCTACCTGGCCGAAGTGGCCACCGGTGAGAAGAGGGCGACTGTGGTGGAGTCTTCGGAGAAAGCCTATAGCGAAGCCCATGAGATCAGCAAGGAGCACATGCAGCCGACCCATCCCATCCGGCTCGGTCTGGCACTTAACTACTCGGTTTTCTACTACGAGATCCAGAACGCGCCGGAGCAGGCCTGCCACCTGGCCAAGACGGCCTTCGACGACGCCATTGCCGAGCTGGACACCCTCAACGAGGACTCCTACAAGGACTCAACGCTCATCATGCAGCTCCTCCGCGACAACCTAACGCTCTGGACGAGCGATCAGCAAGACGACGACGGTGGAGAAGGCAACAACTAGACCCCCCCGATGGACTGGCAGCCGCACGCTGATGCTAACTACTGCAGTCTTTATTTTTTTCCCACGAGTGGGGGGGGTCAGGGGTGGGGGAGGGAAAGGGAGGGGACACCTTCCCAGGGAGGCCCCCCACAACCTGTCTTTGATTGCCTCGTTGACATTTTTGCCAAAACACCACTAGTGGAAGTCAGGCTGGCTGTGCTGGTATGGAATAGCAGCCTCACTGGCATATGGACTGTTCTGTAGATTATTAATACAAGTGGAGCTGTCTTTAATTTAACTTTATCGCTAGAAATAAAAGGGTTTTAAGATGAATTCGCGTGGATGGAATGGCCCTCGTTTTTAAGGAAAGCAACGCAAAAAAAAAAAAGGGAGTTCTGTGGTTCCAGTAAGGCTTCGTGCGTTTGTTTCTCCGGCCAAAGTGCCGTGTGCCTG